GATGAAATTTAGGACAGTAAGAGACGGAAGTATCATCTACTGGTGTGGCAAGTTTCAGCATCCTTCCATGTTGTCTTCATGCTGAAATCATTCTGCTCCTATTATTATTATTATTAAATGGGAAGCGGTGGCTAGAGTTGAAACAGATCAGGAGCATGAAGTCTTGAGCATTATGGAAGGATGTTGAAACACCAGTAGATGATACTTCCATCTCTTACTATCCTAAACTTCAAAGATCATTTCTACAAAGGCTCAACGGATTCTGAGGTGGTTGAGCAACTGACCTCCCCTAACCTCTCTGAGTTGACACGGAATGATCCCTCTAGGATTTTATAGATGATGTAGAATTATGTAGTTTAAAGTTCTCGACTCAGCTGATAACCTAATAATCCGAGCGCACCAGGACCCGTGCACCACACCCCTCCTATATGCTTATTATTATTAGTTCTATTTCCACATTAACACTCTATTTTATCGTAAATATCAACAATTTTTGCACCTTTTTTGTAAACACCAGCATTTTCTGGCACTTTATTTCTGGGATCTGCATGGTCCATCCATCCATCCATCCGTCCGTCCATCCATCCATCCATCCATCCATCCATCCATCCATCCATCCATCCATCCATCCATCCTGTAGTCAGTGATGATGTGTTAAATACAGAATGCTGTGCTTACGCTGTGTCTTCCAGCTGCACACTGCGGATCTGGGAGGTCAAGGCTCCACGTCTGAAGTGGTCCAGTCCATCATGAAGGCCGTTGAAAGCACCGGACCTCGAACACTGAGCACCTAGAACAGACGGCAGCCACTCAGCGGGGATCAGCGTAGGATTACGACGGCCTTCTGTAGCTCTTCTATGCAATTTTATAACAACAACAACAAGATCATGTATAACACTGACATGAAACTGGACTGTGAACACAAACTGCTTCAATGTGTTTGCAGCAGTTTACATTTAATCTGAAGGTTTAGTAGTTTAAAAAACACCTCCCTGTTTGAAGCACGTTGTATCTTACAGTGTTTCCAGACCTTAGTTTTAGCACTTTATTTGCATTTCCCTTGAATCTATTATCACAATTACTGTATGAGAAATAAATAATGCATTGTTTGAGTCCCAGCCAGTCCTTTCCCTGTGTTTTAGTTTTGCTTTAATTATTTATGACTGAGTGAAACCAGCTGTTCTTTACACATTTTAAGATTAACTTTACATTAACTAAACAAAACTACCACATAATGAACTTTCAAGTTGTCGCTCTGATGTCTAATAAAGTTTGTTTTCACTGTAAATCACTTGTGTGTGTGACTGCAGGCCGCACCGGCTCGTCCAGACCACACGGAGGCCACGTTGTCTCGTTCAACCACAACATTTGGCGTCTTGTTGAGTAAAACCCTCTAAATTTCTCATCTAGATTTTATAACTTTATGTGCAACAGGTCGAATAATGGTCTAGTCTTTAAAATTAAGCTGAAAGAAAAACGGGAAATAAATAAAATAAGTCATTTTCTGTTAATGTTAGACAACTTAAAAAGGAACAATAATAAAACATGCAGGAATAATGACATGAATTGCAAAAGTAAAAACTTGAGGGGAACAAGGGTTAGATGACGACGATGTTTCTAGAGCTGGAGGGTTTTTTTCTGTTGACAGTTTAGTGCCTTTAAAACAGAAAGCAGCGTCTTCAGACTCCTTTTGTGAAATAATAAATGAAGACAGCAAATGATCGAACACTTCCAGCTTGAAGTTCAATAACTTTATGGTCCCTTTGAAAGGCTCAGCAGGATGTAAACTACAGGGGAGTCAGAGGACATGAGCTCATCTGACGTGAAATTTAGCATTTCTATTTATCCGTATCTTTATTATGATGGATCGTGTGTAAAATCAGGGATATTGTTGACGAACAATTCAAGCAATTTATCACTATTTCACTTTGTTTAATCCTCTTGCCATCATCGTCAATATCAATATCATGAACTTTTCTCAGTTTACATCAAGATCAGATGTAAAAAAAACCTAATTTCTTTGTTCAACCTGCTGTAAAATAAAACAAAAAGAACAAATCTAAGCCTCTGTGGAGCTAAAACCAGGCAGCAGCAGCTACTTTACACCTGATTTCTTTCTATTCACATTCTTATTAATAGGAATACTGGTAAATAAAAGATAAATTAAGTGATTTATAAATGTTGTATTTGTTGCTCCTCTCTAGCCAATATTATTATTATATTAGGTAGTAAGCGGTTGTGTTAAGCTAAGCTAAGCTAAAATAAGCTAAGTCTTTTTTTTTTTTTTTTTAATCCCACAGGAAATTCTTGTGCCAGATAGTGCTCAGAAAAAAAACAAATAACGTAATCCAAGAAACGCAGTGACTTAAAGTGGAAATCCAATAAGATATAAAGTACATTATTCATATAAAATAAGTTATAAGTAAAATAATAAGTTCTCATCAAGAGCACAATGCCAACGGAGCAGTAAACCTAATTATCTCACTTCTGCCGACACTAACACCAGTTTAAAGGGACAGAAGTGTAATTTCAATTTGACAGAATTCACTAAAGTAAACTGAGATTTATTAAAAACAGGATTTTACTTCAACTGCAGCTCAAATACAGGTTTTTGAAGACGATCTGTAATGTAACACAAACTGACCCTAAGAACAGTAAAATAGAAATTTGCAAATTTTCCAACTAAATTATTCACTGACCTTCTTTAAAGAGCAGTAAACCAGATTTTTTTACCCTTCTGCCATCATTAGAATATCAATTTAAATGGACAAAGTGTAATTTGAAGCCAATAGAATCCAGAAAACTGCCTCCACCAGAGTAAAGAGATGATTAGAAACAGCTCAGAGCACCACATGCAGTCAGGGAGGTGTTTCTGTTGAACTGTTAAGAATTCAAAACACAAATTAAGCAAACTTTTTCAACTAAATCAAACATGCACTGACTGTTTTTTAAAGAGTACAAAGGCACTCTGGTGTTCATCGTGCCCCAATGGCTGCTTATGTTTTTGCACTTTGTCACATTAAAATTTACCGAAAGAACTTATTTAGTGAAATAAAACTAATTCTATTGTTAGTCTCCACTATTTGTCGTCTAAAATAAGTTGTGGAACACTCTGAAACACTTTAATAAAGGTGTTTGATTGGAATAATTGAGGCTAAAACCTGTAAAATACTTTAAAAAATCGGTTTCACTGCAGAGCTTTGAGGTTAATCAGTTTTTTTTAGGTGTAATAACTGAGTAGAAATCTGTGAAATGACTGTAGTTCTTTTACTTTTAACTTGTTTTTTTGCAATGTACAATCACCTGCTAATACGAAAGCTTCTGTTTCTGGTCTTTTAAGGGAAGTTGTTGGCAAAAGAAAAAACACAATAATGGGAATTACAACCAATCAAAGTCCTCTGATCAAACTGACTTGAAGGCGACTCCACTGAAACGTATTTTAAAGCGACTCGCCTCGTGTGCGACTGTTTTACAGCCACTCAGCGGGCCTCTCGGTAATTAGAGGCTTCTCCAAACGAGGGAGCGATTGAGGGGAAGCAAACAGATTAGTTCCCTGTCGGAGGGAGAGCGGAGAGGTGGAATGTGGGAGGAAAAACAAGACAAACCCTCCTTCTGTTGCTGCCGCCTTCTCATTTCTCTCTAAAAACCCCACAACCCATCTGTCACAACACCCGGCGGCCCGTCCTCCATCACCCGCTGACGCACAATCACACGTACACATATCAGTTTAAGGCCCTTTGATCACCCCTAATAACAAAAATCTCATCCGATCTGCTGCCGTGTGTCCGTCGCTCATCAAAGTCTGTCGACGTCCAAACAGCGAGCGGGAAATCACATTAATTCACCCCCACGGCCTTTCATCAGCGCTTCCCTCCTGCCTCCAACCCACTTTTTCACGAGACAGCCGTGAGGAGAGAGGGATGTGCTGAAGAGGAGTTGGCAGAGGTCACTGTCGGAGGAATAACCGAGTGGAAAACACTCAGCATGGATGCAGCTCGAGTGTGCAGCAGCAGATCAGGTTGTCCTGGATCCGACAGATGCTTCACGGGATGCTGAGGACGAGGTGAGTGAGTCGTTTGCTCGGGCTTTGCTTCTGGTTTTTGGGAGATTAAACTCTGCAGAAGTTTGTTTTACCTTCAAATGAGGTGGATCGAGGGTGAAAGGAGCATTTTTGACTGTAAAAAATGACTAAATATGGTAAAAAATACTCTAAAAGGTGCAAAAAAAGGGACTACATTTAACTTTTTGGCTTGTGAAAATCTCTGTTTTCTACTGAAATGGGAAATTAGACTTTGCAGACGTTGGTTCTACCTTTACATGAGGTGGACTGAGGGTGGAAGGAGGATTTGTGACAGGAATACTCTTGGTAAGAATAATAAAAAATACTCTGAAAGGGGAAAGAAGAACTGTTATTAGCTTTTTGGCTTGTGAAAAAAAGTATTAAACAGCATGTGTTTGCTTCTCATTTACAAAATTCTTTTAGATGAGGAGGAATAAGGGTGAAACAAGCATTTCTGACAGGAATAATCTGGCTAAGAACGGTAAAAAAAAACTCTGAAAGGTGCAAAAAAGGACAGATTTTAGCTTTAAGTATAGAGCAGCAGGTGTCCACAGTCTTCTAATTGGATTAAAATCAACAAACATGTCAACAAACTCGGCTGTTTCTCTATTTAGTGTCTGAATAGTGAACAAAAAACTACCATTTTCTCAGTTGCAGACTGAGAAGTTGGTTCTACCTTCACACGAGGAGGTTTGACGGTGAAAGAGATCATTTCTGACAGGAACAATCTGCCTAAGAACGGTAAAAAATGACTCTGAAATGCACAACAGGGACATATTTTAGCTTTAAGTCTAGAACAGCAGGTGTCCACAGTCTTCTAATTGGATTAAAATTGCCAAAAGATGTCAACAAACTCAGCTGTTTAAAAAAAAAAAAACATAAAAGTGATCAAAAGATGCTTCATGGGACACTGAAGACGAGGTTAGTAAACTGTTTGCTTCTGATTTTTGGGAGATTAAACTCTGTAGATGTTGGTTCTACCTTTAAATGAGAAGGATTGGGGGTAAACAGAGCATTTATAACAGTAATATTCCAGCTAAAAATGGTAGAAAATACTAGTAAAGATGCAAAAAGAAGGATGGATTGGACCAATTTTCATGTTTTGGCTCATGTAAATAAAAGCAGGTCTAAACAGCAGGTGTCCACAGTCTTCTAGTTGGATTAAAATCGCCAAATGACGTCAATAAGCTCGACTATTTGTCTATTTAGTGTCCGCATAGAGAGAGAAAATGAATTTTCTCCGTTGCTCAGGCTTTGCTTCTGATATTTTGCTTGTTTTCTGCTAAAATGTAAAATCAAACTGTGTAGAAGTCCCTTTACATGGGGAGAACTGAGGGTGTAAGGAGCATGTTTTACAGAAAAAAAATGATTTTAAAAAATGATTTAAAATGCTATTAAAGATGCTAAGAGGAGAGACTTTAGTTCTTCAGCTCGTAACAATAAAAATAAGTCATAAACAGCAGGTGTCCAGAGTCTTCTAATTGGATTAAAACCACCAAAAGATGTCAACAAACTTGGCTGTTTCTCTGTTTAGTGTCTTCCAACTGTAATATTTGTCTTTTAAATTAACTTTATTTAAAAGAAACACAAAAAGGAGAAAACCTGGATGATTTCTGCTTCACATTTTTGTCATTTTGTGAGTTGAAGTAAACAAACCAGCTCAGATGTTTGATGTCTTTTGGATAAAATCAACTTGAGGTTCTTCTCCTGCAGAAAAAAAAAAGCTTCTCTCACTGATTTATTCTGATATTAATCTGCAGCAGGATGAGCTGGAGCTAGTTTATCTACTTTATATAAATTAGTTTAACAAGTTTGCCAATCTGGGGTCACCACATGAATCCAGGTGAGGGAATGAGAGCGGAAAATGTACCTTCAGTTTTCTGCTTTTTGTCTTATCTTTGCTTTTGTTGTGACTTTTTAAAAATCTCTGTTGAGCTCAAACTGCAGCAGTTTTGGCCCAATTTAAAGACAAAGTGAATCCAATTAGTGAAGAAGTGACCATTTAACCAAACACAGAAATGAACAGAAATATGTTTGGACAAAAAAAAACACTAAAAATGACACAAACCAACAAAATGAGAGTCAGAGTTTGTTGTTGGGACATTTTTCTGAATTTCGACCTTCGGAGCTCAAACTGTCATTTAATTGAACCTTCTGTGATTGACTTAAACTTAAATATCTTGTAATGTTTCTGTTTGATTTGATGCAAATTGAGTGTAAATCTCAAAATACATCCACAGAAGAGATAAACCTTCACGTCTAAATGAGGGAAAAAGCAACGGTTCCATTTGTCACATATATGAAACATGTTCCAAAGTGTGTTTGAGGTCCAACTTGATTATTTTTAAATGTTTAAATGTTCTTCTACCTTCTTTTTAAAGTGAAATCTGGTTATAATTTAGCTATTTTTAAATGGAAACTTTAGATGATAGGCGTTTGAAACATGCCAAAAAGCCCCTACTGCTTTAATGTTCAGCGATATGTTCACGTTTTTGTGTAAACTAAACCAGCAGCTTTATCTTTAAATGTGGAGTAGATGCATAAAGTTAAACAAAGTACCTCAACACTGGACGGACACACAAGACCCGCTTTAGTTCTCGTTGCACCCCTGATTGCTGATTGATTGGTTTTTCCCAATTACTGCCTTCCAATTAGCAGCTCCTCCACCATATTTCCAGAAACGATTACAGGACGCTTTGTGACTTCAGTGGTTACGAAACGGTTTGTGCAGAATGACCTCGCGCAGGTTTCCTTCCCCGCCGGAGTGTCGGTTCGTCCTGTACGCCTTCGTGTTGGAGGTCAAAGTTGGCAACGCGTCAATTTTAACTGTAAATATCCCGCAAAGCGAACACACGAGCGGCGCCGGGCTTCGCTGAGCACGTTAATGCTGAGACAAAGAGACGTTTAATGTGTTTACAGTAGCAGCTTCGCAAACTTTTACGGTTCAACACATACGAGGTCACACAATCGCGGAGGCATGCGGGGAGGCCCCTCGCTAACAAGGGCGAAGGCCTCGTTGTTGGGGCAACTTCTGAATCAGAAAACTTCATTGATCCCTGTCAGACATTCAACCCTGACATACAGAGACCCCTTTTGACGTTTGACAGCAGTAAAGACACCCTGAAGGTCTTTTAGCCTGAAATATGACGACTTCTCCTAAAGTGACCCAAAATATAACAAAAAATGAAAATATTATAAAATGTTTGACCACTGAGATGGATTTTAGATCCACCAGTGGGGGTCAAATCAAGGAAAATTGAGGTTTTCGGGTTCTTTTGCATTTACTAATGTGACATTTAGACATTCTACATAGATCTGTCAAAATCGAGCCGAACCACGCTGTGAAGGCATAACATATGAACAGTATGTAAGAGTTAAGCAGTAGAAGAAAAAAAGTAAAAGACACCCAGAAATCCACATAACTGATTATGCCGATGACATGACACTAACGTCTTCACCTTTTCCGGAGCAACAACCTTCTACATTAGCTAGAAAATGAAGCTGGTCACTAAAAAACTGAGTTTATGTCTATTGATACTACAGTAAATTCAACTGTCAATCAAGCACAAAGTTTCAAACACCTTGGCAGCAACGTGTCATCAACACAAACCGACGTAAACACAAGGTGGTCTGACATTTTACAGTTAAACACAATTTGGAAAACTAGTCTTTCAGATGGTATGAAATGTGGATTGAGTCTCTACTTCTGTATGGTTGACTATGTGGACACTTCCTAAACCGCTTGAATCTCAGATGGACGCCACCTAGACCAGAATGCTTGGTACCATCCTCAGTGTTTCATGGAAGCAGCATCCAACGAGAGCACGACTTTACGGGAAACCTCAACCGTTATTGGACAACAAAGATTACTGTTCACAGGACAAACACGAGCTCGTCAGTCAAAGCCTTGTTTGGAAACCAACTCGTGGCCCGAAGTCGTATTGGACGACCATCGCGTAGCTTCGTAGACCAACTGACCGACGGTGCTGGATCTCAACAATCGGGAATTGTGGCGGAAAGTTGTTGCGGGCATCCGAGAAAAAAATTAAAGCTGAGTCGAAAAATATGCCCTAAAAATACAAACTTAAGTAGAAAAGTAAAGGCATAAGATATAAAAGTGTCCATAGTACTTGGAAAATAAAGAATATAAATATATAAATATAAATACTTTGCTGATCCCAGAGGAGAAACTGTTTATGGTTACACAAAGTTAGGCAGTAGAAAAAATACACAGATAAACATAAGTAGAAAAGTATAAGCATGAAGTGTAAAACATGAGTTGTTCTAAGAAATAAAAATGTAAGTACACAGTGTGATCAGTACGAATGGTTCATGTTATTGCACAGAGAAGTTGTTGTTGCACAATATTCTACATGAAACTTGCTCAACCTTTTAAGACCTGACATCTTGGGTTACATGACCACAGTGGTTATTTTTTTTGTTTTTATCTTTATTATTATTCTATTATTGTTATTTATTTATTTAAATATATATTTTTATTTATTGAAAATATTTTTATATATTTCTTTGAATATATTTTTATTTTCTTTCTATTTTTTATGCTTCTTTTTGATCAGATCAAATAGCAAAGAGGAATAAAAAATGCTTCTAAATATATAAACTATAAAGCTCCTGAGTGATATTTTGGATCGACTTCCTGCAGTCTGACAGCCAGGAACCAGTTCAGTGGATGATGAAGTACATTTACACGAGCCCAGGTCCAGGTTTGAGGTACTTGCACTCATCTGTTTAAATCTGGAGTGCAGCTGATTTACATATAAATGAACGTACATCACATTACATTCAATAACGCAGATTAAAACCAGCCGGTTGAGATGATTGGTCGGTCGGGGCTGAGGAGAGGAGTAACCATAGCGACGGACGCTGAGCAGGAAACAACAACCAGGAGTAAGATGGAAAAATGAAAGTGTCTGATGCTCCACATAAATATACACTCAGCATTCAGAGGAAGGACTAGAGTCTAAGAAAGTCTAAAGTCATTCATGTTGAGGTAATTACTCTCCCCGCCAGATGAGGGAGACAAAGTTTCCTTGCTGTGATGTGACTTCATCTGAGCTGCTGGTTAATTGATTTTCACTTTTTAGTTCCAGAAGTGTTTGTTTTCTCCCAAAAAGGTAAATGTTTTAAGGTGTGTCCTGCTGTCATGACTTTATTTCATCATTTAAGTGAAAAATTCATTATGTGCACAAAAGTGTTTGCAAATCGTTAAATGTGTACACAAACATGTAAATGCGCATCGGATCATTAAATATCCACATTAACCTGTGACGTGTACAAAAGTCCTGATTGTGATGTCAGAGTTTGAGGCGCCGCAGTTCGTAGTTGAAGTAAACATTTTAAAGAAGCAGCTCAGAACGCAGCCCAGTCGTGTTTTACGGTTGAACTTTTGTCCTCAGTGTGAACTTTTCTCTTTGCGCCCCCCTCCCAGCCAGCATGTCGGTCTCCATGGTAACACACACCTACCCGTCCACCCGGTGGTCGGCGGTCTCCGAGGCCCCGGTGGGCGCCAACGTCACCGACAGGCAGCGAGACACCCTGCTGGCGGTGGCCGAGGTGGTGGTGCTGGCGGCCATCTTGGTGATGGCGTTGCTCGGCAACGGGCTGGTGCTGGTGGTGTTGCTAAGGCGCCGGCGACATCACAACCCGCTGCACCAGTTCATGCTCAACCTCTGCGTGGCGGACCTGGTGGTGGCGCTGTTCCAGGTAACACATACACACACACACACACACAGTTAAACCCTGTCTCTGCTAATCACCTCATCAGAGGAAATAATGTTTATAAATGTGTGTGGAAGGTTTACAAACTTTACCTTAATGTGCATGTTTGTCAATGTGTACACAAAAACACGAACATCAAATATGTACACAAGTTAGTTTAAATGTGTACACAACTTTTGTACGTGTGCACAAATCTGATCACAGATTTAGAAATGTGCACACAAACCCATAAATGTGCACACAAATCTTGAGCACACAGAAATATGTAAATGTGTAAAAATGTGTATACAAATTGACTCGTATTACCTCCCTACATCTTCTTGTTCCTGTTCTTCCTCTCGGAGGTGTTGCCCCAGCTGGTGTGGGACGCTCAGGGCAGACTTCCCGGCCCGGACTTCCTGTGCCGCCTGGTGAAATACCTCCAGGTGCTCGGCATGTTCGCCTCCTCCTACATGATCGTCGCCATGACGCTGGACCGCCACTACGCCATCTGCTGCCCCCTGCAGGCGCATCGCAGCGGAGCCACGCAGCGCTGCAACACCTTCGTGGTGTTGGCCTGGGGGCTGTCGCTGCTGCTCAGCCTGCCGCAGGTAGAACCGCAGCACGGGTCTGGTGCTTATTACCGATTCATATTCTGGTGGTTCTGCTTTGTTGAACAGGAGAAGCTTGTTGCAGCAAATCTCAGAAGACAGAATGTGTTTGTATTAAACATTCCTCTAATCTGATATCACAAAGATGGAACATTTAGCCTGCAATGTTCTGAGGATGTTTTGGGGATGTTGCTGTTGAGAACGTTCTTCTATAAAACATTCCCACAATGTTACATGATAGCAAAGGAAGGACGTTCTCAATGCACATCTGGAAAATGTGTTAGGAAGACTTTCTAAGCATCTTTAGAGAATTTTTAAGTAACATTCTAGAAACTAAAAGAGACCTTCAAAGATGAAAGCATTAGTAGAACTTTGCAGAACTTTCTCAGAATATTTTTAGAACAACAAAATTGTAGCTAAGTTAAAACGCGACCCAGCAAGCAGAAAACGTTCCTACAACATTGTCTAACATTACCTACAAGTTCTAATAATGTTTGAAAGAAAACACTTTAATCTGATGTTCAGAGAGCGTTCTAAGGATGTTTATCATTTCTGATAATGTTCCTGTGAGGTTACAAGTGAACCAAGACAGAACGTTTTAACATTCAGACGAGGTTTGGAGGATGTTGTCAGATTATGTTATGACAACAGAAGAAGAACGTTCTCAAATCAACATTCAATAAATGTTTTCTAGATGTTATCGAGGCCTCAGGAGACAGAATGTGTTTTTATAAAACGTGTCTGTAGTTTAATATATTAACAAAGATGGAACACAACAATTTGAGAGCATCTTTAGAAAACGTTATCTTGCCTTTAAGAAGAACATTTTGGAAACTACAAGAAAACTTCCTGCTGAAAATATCACTAGAACTTTCTCGTTTTTAGAACAAATAATGAGACTCAGTTAAATGTATTCACCTGCAGGTTTTCATCTTCTCCCGCTCAGAAGTGGCTCCAGGGATCCACGAGTGTTGGGGAAGCTTTGCTGAGTCTTGGGGCCTCAAAGCCTACGTGACCTGGATGACCCTGTCGGTCTTCATCCTGCCCGTCCTCATCATCACCGTCTGCCAGGTAGACACCGGCAGAACCCAGCAGAACTTCTCAATAAACAGAATCATAAAGATTTCCCTCCTTCAGGTGCGCATCTTCAAGGAGATCCACAACAACCTGTACCTGAAGTCGGAGCGCCGTCTGTCGCCCACGTCCATAACTGCAGTCAGACGGGACAGCCAGCGAGGAGGAGGAGGAGGAGGAGGAGGAGGCAGAGGGAAGCCTGGACTCCACGTCTCACCCCTCACCTTCAGCAATCCCACCAGTCAACCCTCCTGCGACCACGAATCCAGCCGTCAGCACCTGCCGATGGGTCCGATCGGGTCCAGCAGCGTCGCGTCGCGCTGTGACGTTCAGCCAGGTGAGCGTAGAACACCGTACAGGCTGCTGTCACTTTACATCACGATGACTTCAGGAGATTAAAAACAGCAACATCAGCAGTGACTGCTTTGAGGTTTTTGACTTTTTATGACACAAACGTTTGTAATTGTAGACACAGAATTTGTCATTCTTCTGCACTTTGTGAGAACATCACGTCCACACTGGATCAAATCTTGAGACTGAGAATCACTCTGACGACAACACAGCGTGAGAGAAGCTTCCAAAATGTAATGCTAAGATACTACTGTTGAAAGAACATGTTTTAAAATAGGCTGCAATAATAAGGATTTGAGAACATGTTACAGCACATTGGCTCAGATTTCAGGGTGAAAACTCTCTCTGCAGCAGTGTTCTCTGAGCTCTGCTTCATGCTTCATAGTGTTTTAGTTCATGGCTTGAACTAATGGTTAGAAAATGTAAATAGTTAAATATCTATCATATAAAGAGGCACTGTTTTCCAGTATTGGTAACACTCGAGGTCATATGGAAAAATGTACACACAGATTTTTTGGGATTATAGCTTTGTTGAATTTCTTTGAAGGCAAGGATATTACTTTTAAGTTTAGCATTTTACTGTCGCTCAAATTTCCAAACTCTTTCCTTTTGTCTGTTTCATGCTTAATAACTTTTTCAGTTAACGGCTCAAACTGATGAATGTCCTTTATAAATATTAAATATCTAAGCACAAATTACCTTTTCTTTTTTAAATTATTATTTAATGCGAGGATATGAGCAAGGCTTGAGAGTTCATAGACGTTGGAAAAATTTAAAAAGTAAATAAAATATAAAAGGGCTGCTCTAGCTCACCTGGGTGCGCTGGCGTCCCAGACGTGGAGGTCAGGAGTTTGAATCCCGCTCATGGTCCTTCCCCTCTTCTTCTCCTCGACGTTCCTGTCTCTCTCTCAAACTGCACTATCAAATAAAGGCAAAAAAACTAAAATAAATCAATTAAATAGTATGAAGAGACACATTTTTTCCAGTACTGGTAACACATGTGGACCCTTGGAAAAATGCTGATTCCTTTCTTTAACTTTGTGTAAAATAAACAAAGAAATTCTCCTTTTTTCTTTCCTTTGTTGTTATTTATGTTGTTATAGTTGTGTCATGTTTGACAGAACACGTCTCTCAGTTCCTCCTCCTTCTAACCACTGTAGTATTGTGTCCGTAGAGGTTCAGGACTTTATACTGCAGTGAAAAACGAGCCCACAGTGGGTAAAACCGACACTGACTGCCTCTGTGCTGCCCTCCAGCCGAGCTGCAGCCCGACCTGCTGCCTGAGCCCCCGCTGCCCTTCACCGTCTGCCCCCCCGACCCGCCCAAAGCGCCTCCTGCCCGGGGCGGCGAGGTGTCGGCGGCCATGTCCAAGACGGTGAGGATGACGCTGGTCATCGTGCTCGTCTACTCGCTCTGCTGGGCGCCGTTCTTCAGCGTCCAGCTGTGGGCCGCCTGGGACCCCGACCCGCCGCAGAGCGGTACCAACACACAGAACTTATCCTCTGGAAACACTGTCATGGCAGAACACATGATTTCCTGCATTGTTCTGGTGGAATGTGCTCAGTTTCAGGGTGAAACACTCGTTCTGCAGCAGTGTTTCTAGGGTCCATACTTCCCTAATTTTACACATTTTGATTTCATGCTTAATAACTTATTTAGTTAACTGAAGAATAGCCTTTATATATACTCAATATAGAAGCAGAAATTTGCCTAATTGACAATATAGGGCATACCATATACACTTTATTTAAAAAAAAAAATGAATGAAAGCCATTTATTGGTGTTAAGGATCTTCCTCTTCAGTGATGCAGGAACATGAGCTGACACTGGTTGTAATAATACAGACTTGTTGAAGTGTTTTATGATTATTGTGGCTCACAGTTTCAGGGCGTAAAACTCTTTCTGTAGCAATGGTTTCTGGGTTTTTTCCTTTCCTGATTTTACAAACCTCTGCTTCATGCTCAATAACTTCTTGAGTTCAGGGCTTAAACTGGACAAAGCACCTTACATGTAAAAGCATCAATTTATTGATTTATTTATCTGACTGACAGAATAAAACAGAACACACGTCTTATGTGTTTAATAACTTCTAACCTAACAGGTACACAACCACAGTTAATAGGCTAAACTAAAGAATGCACTTTATATATTTTTAATGTATAAGCATACATTACCTAATTTATCTATTTAAATAACAACACAGGACATACATGTAATTTATTTGGGGGAAAAAATACATTTAAAACATGTATTTAACGCAAGAATATTATTTCTTAGTTTTTTATTCATAGTTTTAGGTGCAGAACTCTTCCTGCAGCAGGGCTTAAACTAATAACTTCTTTAATTAATGGATTCATCTGAAGACTGCATTTGATATATTACATATAAACACATAAATTACTGTATTTATTTATGTAACTGACAATATAGCCCATAGAACATCCAGTTTATTTGGGATGATATCACTTTCTAGTGATGAAGAGTTTGGAAACTGGTTGTGATCATAATGATAGAAGAGATTTTTATTAATTACAAAACAACAACAGCGCCAGTAAAGATCTAATTTTGCACATCTGCTGCCTAGAAGTTGCTGATAAGTTTATATTTGTGTGATACAGATGTTTGTTTGGTTTAATTTGGAAGAAGCTGCAAAAAAGTACAAAAACCTAAAATTACCTGCGGAGTCCTTCTGTTTTCTGCTAAAATTCAGAATTTCGATGAAAGCAACTAAAATAATAATAATGTGGAAAAAACTGCAAAAACAACAATAAACAAGCTTTTCCATTTTGTTGACCGTAAAATATAAAGAGACTGATTTAATACCTCTTAATGGACAAATTACATGTACTTTTCTCCAGTGTGTGCACTTGTTCGACTGATTTCTGGAGCAAATGATGCATAAATCTGTAGAAGTGCCACAAATACTTTAAATCTTTTTGCATGTTTTCCTTATATGTGCTCATGCAGGACATGTCCAAGTATTACTCAGAAAGTTCTTTTTCAACTTTAGAATATTTATACGTAAACATATGGAAGTAAAACGTGTGATTCTGCTGAAACACTGAGACAGGTGTGTGTGTGTGTGTGTGTGTGTGTGTGTGTGTGTGTGCAGGTGCAGCGTTCACCTTGCTCATGCTGCTGGCCAGCCTCAACTCCTGCACCAACCCCTGGATCTACTCCGCCTTCTCCAGCAGCGTCTCCCCGGAGCTCCGGCTGCTGCTGCTCTGCCGGAGGAACTCTCAGCGCCGGGGCTCTTTACCCAACGACTCCACCACCACACACACGTCCAGCTACTGAACACAAAGGGGATACACCCCGCTATGTGGCGCATAACTGCCACGCTGAGGCTGCTGATAGTCGGACATTTTTTTTTTTTTTTACACCTGCTGGTTTTCGTACCGACAGTTAGCTTGAAATGCTAGCCGAAATAGAAACGGTTAGCTTAGCATAAACACTGGAAACAGGTGAAAATATTTAGCGTGCCTTTATTGAAAGACAGTAAATACTAAATTAAATCCACTTACCAGCACCTTAAAAGCTCACGAACACACAAGCACTTTTTTTTTTTTAAATGTCCAAACAGGAAAATCAGCAGTTCGCCATTTTGCGCTGGTTGTGTATCCGTCAAAGCTGAGGCGCGAGGCCTGAAATACTTAAGGCTTTTCAAAATGGCGTATTGTAGTTTTTCCACTTTGCTTCGTTGTGCAAATTAATCAAACCAGATATAACATGTCAATTAGTGCGCTTTAGTGGGGTTGCTAGACAGATTTAGTTCATTTTAGACAACGACCAGCTCTTTCTGGTCTTGAAAATAATTTAAACTAAGCTAACCTAGGAGCTTGCTATTATAGAAATGACGGCGAGCTAGCAGTAAGCTAGTTAGCCGCAGTGGCTATCAATGGCTGCTAAACTGTGTCTTCAAAAGATAATTCACTTTAAATTTAGTAAATACTGAAGCAGACAGCTTCAGGTACACAAACAGCCAAGTATTTTTGTAATAACGTGGTTAATTTTAAAGCTAAACTGCTGTGATGAAATTTTTAATGTGTAATTATTGTAAATTAATCTGTTTCTGTGATTTTTCTTCAGAAGTTTTTTTTTTTCTTCTCTTTTTGTTGTACAAATTAATTAAAGGAGATGCAACATGTAAATTCATGAGCTTTAGTGGGATTGTTAGACAGATTTAGCTTCTTTTTAAAAACGGCCTGCTCTTTCTGGTCTTGAAACTAATTCAAGCTAAGCTAAAGTGGGCTTAGCACTTGCTACTGTAGCAATGAATGGGTGGAACCTGTGGTGAGCTAGCAGAATTAGCAGTAAGCTAGTTAGCCCCAGCTGCTATCTGTTATTGCAATACAGCTAAAGTTGCTTCTTTAAAAGATAATTCATTTCAAAGTTAGTAAATACTTGAGCAAACAGCTTCAGGTACATAAACATTGATGTCATAGTTTAGATAAAAACTGCTGTAACAAAATTTCTAGTGTATAATTATTGTAAATGCATTTGTTCCTGTAATTTTTCTTTAAAATTGTGAATATTTTTTCACTTTCTGTACAAAATGATGTGTGATTTAGTGAGGTTTGGTGGTGTTGTTGGGCAGATTAGTGTCTTTTGGAAAATAGGCTGCTTTTTCACGTCATTAGACCAATTTATGTTAATAAAAGAAGGCTATGCTAAGGGAAGCTAAGCTAGTCAATTGTTACTGTAGAAATGAGTGCGTAGAAGCTGCAATGAGTTATCAGAATTAGCAGTGAGCTAGTTAGCTCCAGTGGCTAACCATAGTTGTTCGTTTCTTAAAAAGCTTATTCACTTTGAATTCAGCTTCAGGTACATAAAGATCCAGGTGTTCTTGTATGTACACGGCATAGTTTAGACACAAACTGCTGTAATAAAATTCCTCGTGTGTAATTACTGTAAATGAATCTGCTCGTAGGATTTTTCTTCATCTGAGTGCTGATTTAAAAATAAAGTATTTTCAGATACAGAATGAGTCCAAAAGAGTTTTGTCTTAAAAACAGTTTATTCAATCTCACCAGTCATAAAAACATAATACATACAAACATATAAACATCCACTGCAACTAAAAGAAAAAACAACAACTAATTTTTCAGAAATTTAATATAGTTATCTGTTTTCATAAAACAAATAAAGGTGCTGTGGCTGAGTACAGTACCGCTTTTGAAAACCCCTGCACTAGAAAACACCAACCTTCCGTTGTTTTTTTTTTGTTTGTTTTTAATGAAATGGCTTTGTTGCAGTCGTTTTGTGTCATTTTTCTTCTCAAATGTTTGTGTCAAAGGCAAATAAGTGAAGGTTTCAGTCAAGTTGGAATCAGAATGAATCAAACCAGGCTGTTGAATAACAGTATATCATACTGTTTGCCCATAATGTCATGGTAGTGTGCTGTGACTGAGGGAATCTGGGTTTGTAGCAGGGGAATGTGGACACGCCGAGACAGCAGGTCTGTCTGCACTTGATCTGAAGTACTAACTTGTCCAATAACCTCAAGAGATTTGCTTTAAATTCAAGTATGTGAACAGGTGGATACTTCAGGCAGAACGAGACAGAAACTAGTTTCCCATTAGTACCAACAGTACCTTTAAAAAACAAACAAACCAAAGCTGACGTTTGTCAAAAAATCACAGAATAATCAGTTTTAGATGCTGTAATGAACAGTTTTGAACACATTTGGTCATAATCACCAAAAACTCTTTCAAACAGACAAAAAGGTAGCATTCAGTGTAAACGTACACTGGTTGAAACACGAGTGCATCCCCACGTAAATAGAGCATTGTGAGATCTGCGTCCCTGGCTGTTGCTTCATCCAAGATGAAACGTGAGCGTTCCAGAACAGAAACATCTTTCATTTGAACGGGGTTGTGTAACGGATAAAGCTGGTCGTGTGTTGTTGTTATCGTCGACGTGAAAACACTAAAACTGTGTTAGTTTATCTCTCGGTACGTTCCGGCTTCTTGTCGTCGTGTGTGACTCTCAGGTTTCCGTCCATTTGCACATCTTTCAAAACACACACATATTCTGTAGCCTCTAAATATGGACACAGGAACTGCCCGTCAAAATAAAAGCTTCCCAAAGAAACGTTTCACGGCGAACCTGCTCACTGACCGACGAGTCAGACTGTGACATGATATGTCAGTTCAGAGACGTGTTGATGAAACCTGGCTACAATTTAAACACACACACACACATCTGTCACTCACACACACTTCCTGTCATCCAAATACTTTAAAAATCATTAAAAAGATTATTTCTTGTCAGATTGTCATTAAACAGTGAGCTAAAATAGACTTTTTTGGGGGGGGGGTGTAGAAACTGTAAACTACAACGTGTTAAAAAACAACACTACAGTTGTTCTGACCCAAAAAACGGTGACAAAATGTGGGTCGCGTGTTATTCAGAGTGAGATTTTCTTCATTTCCTCCCATTTTGCCACCACAGTGAGGTTGTGCAAACCCAGAGTCTACCATCGTTTTCTTCCCCACAAAGCAGCGTCATGTAATACCGCGGCTCCTGCAGGTTAAACGAATGAATCTGCGTGGCGGAAAGACTCGTTGTTGTTTTGTCAAATGTCTCGTCTTCATCAACAGGATGAGCTGCTCTGCCTCCAGGACACGACATCACACACAGACTTATGTACAAGCGCATTAACAGTGTCTCCATTGCTGCAGATAACTTGCACTGTGACCTAGTTTCAGACTCCTTCATTCGTTTCACAAGTTTTCAGTTGTTGTTTGTTATCTTACATTCTTACTTAAAGGTTTAAAACATCACTGCTGCCACCATGAATATTACTTTTCCCTGTGAGGTTATAAACTTCATTTTTTTTCTCCACTTTATTTGAGTTCTCCGGCTTTAAAAAAAAAGAAAAAAACTGTAAATGTTGTCGACTCCACACTCAAAACTAACAAGATGTACTGTCACTGCGGTAAATCTACGTCCAGCCCTTGAGGAGTGAAACAAGTGTGCAGAACGTGAGGGAGAACCTACAGTATCTCTAAGCATCGTAACAAAATGTACAGTTTGACTCCCGAGCCTCCGTCTGAGTGATTCTGAGGTTCTGAACCTTCGCGGCAGCTCAAGACCCTGAGAGAAAGTCCTCATTGTAGATTACTGGATTGTTCTCTTACAGTCACTCCGTCTTGTTGTGCGTCTAAAATGGTGTTTTTTTTTTTTTTTTTAAGCGGTGCCTGTGCTCCTGGAACCAAAAAAAAGGCACGTCAGATACCAAAAACCAGAGCTGTGCCGGCGGTGCGACTTGAAAACCCGACGCCGCTGCAGCAGGTTCTACTGATAAAACTATGGCTTCAGGGTCGTGTAAAAAGGATATAATCTCTGGGTGAGTGGTCATAACTGCAGCTCTCGTGTGTGTTTCTATGAAGTGTGTGTGTGTTTTAAAGTCTGCGTTGTTTCTATTTTTTTCTTTACACCGTGTCCTCGTCCATCTTGGCGACGTCGTCCAGCGTGACGGCGGCCGGCGCGCTGCTCCCCTCGGCGTCCTCGATCGACTTCGACGGAGAGGGAGGAGCCAGCATGGCGGTGCGCTCCTCCTTGGGCTCCTCCCGCTCTCGCCTCTCCTCCTCCTTCTTCTCTCTGGCCAGCAGCCGGTAGTTGATGCCCATCCCCACGAAGAGGAAGACGCTGGCGATCATGAGGATGATGCCGCAGGTGATGTAGGTGTAGTCGTAGGACTGGTAGTAGCTGTAGAAACTTCCTGTTGGGGGACAAGCGAGACGAGACTCGGATTTAACAGTCTGGATCGATAATATTGGAAAACTTTCTGTTGTGTCATATTATATACACATATATAAATAATGTTTGCAGCACTTTGTTCAACTGTGGTTGCTTTAAAACGGGTTATTTGAATTAAATAACCGGATCTGAACTATCGTAGAGATGCACGAGTTTACTTTTTTGATTTGATTTTGGTCAGAAAATGTCAAAGCATTCACTGGTTTCTTCTCAAATATGAGTTTTTTCTTGTCATATATGACAAAGCTGAGAAATTCTGCAGAGATTTTATACCACAATAACTTTAAATATAGGCAATAATGTGCAAATAATCAGCTGCAGCCCTCGTTTTATTGTGAAACATGCAGCAATAAAAGAGTTGCAGCTAATAAACAGCAGCACAGAATTAATTCCTCAGAATCTTACAACCCTCCCCGTCCCTGTGTGAGATGCCGTATCTTACCTGTCGCCGGTGGTCCTAACAGAACCGGACCACACTCCACTATAGTGACCAGACCCACGGCCGACGAGAACCTCTGAGCTCCCACCAGGTCCATCAGCGTCTCAAACAGCACCGCACTCAGCCAGCCAAAAGCGAAACCGAAGAAGATGGCGTACACGATGAATCCCGTGTAGTCCACCGACAGCGGCGCCAGGACGTGACACACTCCGTTGTAGAGGACGGCAGCGGCGAAGAAGTACTGGACTCGGGGCCGGACCCACTTGGTGTTGGCCAGGAGGCCCATGGAGGGCCGAGCGAACATGTCGACGAAGGCCAGCACCGACAGCAGGAAGGCCGCCTTGTCTTTGCTGATGTCTTTACTCTTGGCGTAGTTGGAGAGGAAGACGAGCGGAGCGAAGAGGCCGAAGAACATGACGACGTTGCCCAGCAGGTAGAGCAGGAAGCCGCGGTGCTTGAAGAGCGTCAGGTCGATGAAGGAGTTGATGGTCTGCAGAACCGTCTTCTTGGGCTGCGGCTGAACCGCGTCCCCCTTCTTGGCCTCGCCCGACTCGGAGTCGAGCTTCGGCGGCTGCGGTGTGGGTCCGATGGGTCGCATCAGGGAACCGGCCACGCAGCAGTTGAGCAGCAGCCCTCCCAGGATGAGGAAGCTGCCTCTCCAGCCAAACTCGTCATACAGCCAGGAGTTGAGAGGAGCCAGCGTGGACAGAAACACCGGGCTGCCGGCCATAGCGATCCCGTTGGCGATGGGCCGACGATGGTAGAAGTATTTACCGATCATGGTGAGGGCCGGGTTCAAGTTGAACGCTAGACCCAGACCTGAGGAGAGAAAAGGAGAAATGATGAGAAAATGAACGCAAACTACTCTGATTAGTTTTGGTTGTTCAGCCATCCACATACAGATAAAGAGACAAAAGCACGAGAAGACATAATGAAGCAACTATAACTTATATTAGGTCAATACCAAAAACGTAAAAAATACTGAATTATTGGATCCAATAATCTGCAAAAGAGAAAATCAGTCGACTCTTAATGTTTATATACAGTCATTGATGTAAATAAGAAACTTCTTGCCATCTAGTTGCAGCACATTTACTGGAAATGACATATTCAGTGTTTTAGCTGAAACATGAAGGATTTGAGGAGCTATTTAATCCAAGAGAACGTCTGGTTCAGGCTAAAGTTATTTTGGATACGGACGTTAATTTCTGTAGAGTCGACGTGATTACATCTGTTCTCAAAGAACAGAACTTTTGAAATATTTAATGCTAAAATAGTTCAAGTTGTTCACGCTTTCAACCACTGACTGGATCAAAAGAAAATCAAATCTGCTAAACAACATCCTGAAAAGTTTGTTGTAACACTGATTTGTACACATGATCATAACTATTAATCTAAATATTCCATTTTGTACCATCTGTTTTAAAAAGATGATGTTCTGTACGCGTCGTATTCTCGGTGCTCTGCAGCTCTCATGACTAAGAAAAGGACCAAACGTGAGTGAAGCCGACGGATTGGAGCTGGACGTGGACCAAACACTGACCTCCCACCACTCCGATGAAGAAGTACAGCTGCTCCACAGTGTTGCAGAACGAGGCGGCGACCAGCCCGGAGCCCGACAGACAACCGCCGAGGATGATGATCGGTCGGCTGCCAAATTTGTTCACCAGGATGCTGCTGATCGGACCTGGAGAGAAGAAGAAGAGCAGTGAGCACTTTGCTCATGTAGAGAGACGAAACCACGGCGGAGCTGTGACGTCGATCGTGAATTTAATTATTAACCACAGAAAATAAACAATAAATAATCAGTTGTTTAAGTCGTTTTCTGAGCAAAAACACCAAACATCTGCTGGTTGCAGCTTCTTAAACAGAAAACTTAATGTAAAATAAATGAACTCATCAAAAACATAACCCAATAATGACAGAAAGATTTATCGTTTAAGTCGTTTTTCACAACATTTTTTAAAATTTGGAACAAAACAGCATGGCCGTGATCAAGTTAAGTTTCTTCTGCTGTTGTCCACATACATAAAAAACACAAAGAGCCAAAAAATGAAATTAAATAAATAGAGGAAAAATTCACAGGAACAGAAAATGCTGCTAAGCTGCACTGACCACATGAAATAACACAAAGTGAAGAGGGGTTTGTGGCACAAAACATGAATCGTAATGTTTACTACATAGTTCAGATTCTCAATTATTTTTTTCAAGCAAATCTACCAAACAATCCTCACAAATGACAAGCTCTAGCTGTTCATTCGCTGCCCTTTTCTGTCTTATGTGATAAAAATCTAAATGAGTGAACGTTTGTGTTGAATAAGAGACATTTTTTCATGTTACCTTGACTTTAAGGAGCACGCTTCATTATTTACCAACGATTTATTATGTCATTGATAAAAATGATGTGCAAGTTGGCGCTCTGGGTGCATTTTAATGTTTATACGTTGACTAATAAACTCTACTGGTGCTGCTGCAACGTCAACTGTGTTCAGCAAATTCAGTTTCAGGTTTTTTTTTTCTAAACATCGCACAGAATAGAATTTAACTCAAATAAAACAGTAGAAACAACCCTCAAAAATATTTAAGAAATACATACATTTACTGGCAATTATATGTATTCAATTATAACTTAATGAACATGTTGTGGACCCAGATAACGAACATAACTTAATTGGTTAAAACCAAAAACACGGCTTCTCCAGACAGCAGCAGTTAAACACAAATAAACCACAACTGATGCGACATCTACAGCAGATAAAGAGAAATATTTATGTAAATATCATTTTTCAAGGCCTTTCAAGGTAATTGTGTTTGGAAGATGCTCTGATTAATTACATCAGCCGGTCACTTTAAGTGTTAACCAACGGGTGGCGCTATGACGGCAAAAATAGAACAGATTGTGTAACAGTTACATGGATGTTAGAGGGAGAGAATGACAGGGCGAAGAGGAGGGAGAGAAGAAGAGGAAGAGGAAGAAGAATAAAAAAAAAAGAGAGAGAGGAGTCGTCCACGTGTCTGGTTTGCGTGCCAGCCTCACTATGAATGAGCCTTCACATGGATCCAGGCTGACACTGCTCTGCTCTGCCGGCTCGGAATACAAAGTAAAGGCCTGCAGAGTCCATGAAGCAGCAGCAGCAGCTCTGTGTGCAGCTGATGTCTGTTTACACGACAGAAATACAGCAACAGAGACTCCTCATGTCGATTAAACTGCTTGATCGAAGGACAGAAACGTGATCGGCAGCTAATCTGGTTGTCGCTTCTGCAAGTTTTTAGGCATAAACTGTTAAAAAAAATCATGTAAAAACACTGTTTCCTTGAATATCTTTTGGTTGAGTACTGTTGAGCAAACGAAACACGACTTAGACATCTTTCTGATAACGAACCAGACAACAATCTCAGCCATCATTGATTTGCCTGAATTTTTTATCGCATAAAATATCGATAATCAGATAGCTTGATGTATCAAGTACTTTCAGAGATATAGATTTTTAAAATTGCATCGGTGTAAGTTGAACCGTAATAACGTCTGTATGTTTAATACGAGGCTGGAGCTAGGAGAACGTTAGCTTAGCTTAGCATAACGAGACTTAAAAACAATGGAAACGTGAAATCTAAGTCACTCAAAAACACATGTAAAAAGTTTTGCAGCGCAGCGTTGTAGACCACAAAGTAAAGCTGATCCGTCCCGTTAAAAGCACATTTTCTTGACGACCTGCTTTAATCAGCTGCAACAGATTCCAAACCAGTAAGTCTGCATCGTATCTGTGTCCCATCAGCTGCTAGTTCTGCACCAAAGCATCAGCAGATTGGTCAGTAAAATAGTCTAACTATGTGTGACAGAGAACTAGTTAATGGACGGAGAGGGAGGGGAGAAACAAAAATCCCTAAATCATTAAATATTTAAGGTCCACTCCTGCCCTCCTCTCAGCCCACGGTGGTGGATTTGCCCTTGAAGCTTGGCAGCCGACCACCGAGGCCCCGGATGACCGAGCATTCGCTGAATAGCTCCTCGTCCACCTCGTCCCTCTTGTTGTGTCTGTCTCTGAGGGATCGGACCGTCTGGCACTGAGCCTGGGCCCGGTGGGGGGAAGCCTTGTTTCGGGACGGTGGGTTTCCACGGCGTTTAACACAAACACACCGAACTCAGCGGCTTCCAGGTTAATGAAAGCGAACCTGTGCGTGACAAATCTGCATCCGCTCGACGCTAAAGCGAGACGAACCGCTACTGACGGGCTTTGTTGCTGTGTGGCAAAAAAAAAAAAAAACACAAAGAGGGCAGTGAGTAGTGTTCTCAGAGATATTATATAAACTGGGAAAAAAAAAAAAAAAAACACAAAGAGGGCAGTGAGTAGTGTTCTCAGAGATATTATATAAACTGTTTGTCCTCCCCCTCCCTCCGTCATTTGTTCTCCCAGAGCAAAATAATAAAAAAAAACTAAACGTCCTCGGCTTGGCACTGACGCAGCATCTACATGTCAACGGTGAACCCAGCTGTGTTTGTCTGATTTGGGCCTCTGATCAGATCTATTCTGCAAGGAAATCCCATTAATGCCAGTGTTTATGACGGAGAAAATCAGATTCTGTGTCCGTGTTCAGCAGCAGCTGGTGATGAGTCACCAGAAAAACAGCAACACAGGAGGCAGAAACAGCTGATTGGATTTGACCCGGCAGGCGGCATCTCGTTTGTCCACCTCCCGCATTATTCACAACTAGCTTCCCTCCGTCTGGACCGAACCTTCAGACGGATCTTTGGTTAATAGGCTCTTTCTTGCAAGGAGAAGTTTGATTCTCCTGTCATGTCTGTTTGGTAAACATGAAGCTCGAGCCAGGAGACGATTCGCTTATTTCAGCCTTGAAGGCGCTGATAAGACTCAACCTGGACGATGCTGCAAGTTAACCTCGAGGGATTTTTACATAAGATGTGACACGTTAGCAAACACTCTGACCCAAAACAGGCCCAGAAGTCGAGCGAATTAGTGCATCTAAATGCTTATTGGATGTGACAGCGTTACACAACAGTGTCTTCTACCATCAGAACTGCACAACTCCTCCCTGTTCTGCAGGAGTGACGCCAGAAACATCCGACATGCAGATCTGAACAATGACATCGACATTATTTTCTCAATGTCACTGTCAGTGTCATGTGTGAGACTTATTTCCTCAGTATCGTTGCCACTACTAGTCTCATTTTAGCTCATTTATATCTTATTGCTTTTCCACTTTTTGGGTGCTGCATTTCTTCTGCAGTTGCGTTTTTACTGAGCAATGTCCGACGCGCTGATCCAAAAGACATTAAACTGAGTTAGGAGCTGGTTGCTGTGAGCGTATGATTCACATCATTCTTATCAAACCGTTCACTGACCACAACCACATATCAGCAGAGAAATGTTTGCTCACTCAGAACAAGCTTGGATTGATTTGCAGAGACTTTTCTGTCTGAGAGGACAAGTGGACTCGAACCGGGCCATCAAACGTCCCCTTTAGCACAACTGTAATGTGGCGTTCCCATTTCATAGCGATCCACCAGGACTGAGTGTTTTATTTGTAGCGTGCGGTCGCTCCCCTACATAGATCTTCTATTTAACATATTGTTTTAGTATTTATTGTCAGCAACTTATTCAAGCTCTCCCTCTCCAGAGAGTTTTGGTCTTTCCGTCAGCGTGGAAACCCTTTTTTCATTCAGCCAAGGCGTTGTATTTTGCGCAATACAGCCTCTGGGATCAATAAAGTATTCCCCATTCTGATTTTAATTGGGCGATGCAGCTTTTCCACATTTAGTGTGCTTGTTTGTTTCCCAACAATAAGACGATCTGGTTCCAGTTTTTATGCTAACTCATGACTCAATGCTAAAAAAGTGCATCAATATCGATGTTTTTAAACGACGCGTGCTTTTAAAAATTCTTTCTAAAATGTTTAAATTCAACAACAAAGATTTTTATCACTGTGTAAATGCTGCGTCGTGATGTCAGCTGTTTTTGGTGGGGTGAACTGAGTGCTACCGGTTCAGGAAATAGTGGAAGTTCAACTCAGTTCAGTGTCAAAGTTTCCAAAGAAAAACAAAAGAGATAGTTTGCACCTGAAGAGAAACCACACAGCATTGCTAGAGGAGCACCATGTGTTCATCTTTCCTTCTGGTAGCTCCTAAAAACACTCAAAAAACTCAAAATTAATTTAAATATATGTCGAATTAGACTTGTTGAGGAAAATGAACTCTTTAGATTAATTGGGGAAACAGTCGACAGATTAATTGGAAGAGAAAGAGCCTTTAGTGGCGTCCTGAACTGGGAATCACTCTGAATGCGTCTCCAGGCTGCCTGAGCTCTAATCACGTCCATATCTGGTAACTTCCAGCACTCTTTGCATTACAAAGTCCTCCACACACACACCAGTCAGGCTCTTTTCCCTCCCACACACTCCAGAAGAACAGAGGAAACCCACAGATCACAAGAGGAGTCAGAAAGTGAAGCCCTGTGTCGAGGCTCCCACTCGGCGAGGCCTCGCCCGGCGTCACATGAACCTCTGACTCTACCGAGTCAGGGAACATGTTCTGGTCTGTAGTTCCTCCACGACACTGAGGACTGGACGGATCAGAAACAAGCGACGGCCACTTTGTGTAATAATCCTCTTGTTCGGGTTTCCCAGACCGCTTAGCTAAAGTTGTGTTTCCAGCTCTGCCAAATCTCCAAA